TCCCCGCAAACTGCACCACCCCAGCGATCTTGGCAACGTGCCCCGAGGCGTTCGCTCGACGTTGTAATGTTGCCATCTCTTTTTCATAATGTCGAAGTGTTCCCCGCAGCACAGGATGCGGCTGACAACCGAGATCTGGAGAACATTCATTGCTCGGGCCATCTGCAACATCACGCATGCTTCATCGTCGCCAACAGTCCCGATGCCATATGCGACACTGCGTCCAAAGAAGAACATCACGCCTTCGCGGCTGGCCTTGAGCGCGTTGCTGGCGCACCTGAAATCCCCATGTCCGAAAGTTGTTTCGACGCACGCGCCCTTGCTCGGGTTGCCATCGCATCGGGCGCCTGGGACGCGACAATGCCCAATCACGCACCTGTCCACGACGCTGCCTTCATTTGAGCAGCCGAGCAATTGCAAGCCGCCGGCACCACCTCGCCCCTGGGCGAAGCCTCCATCCGAACTGCGGGGCAAAATAACTGCGCAGGCTCGCCCTCAGCACGGCCGCGTGCAGCGCAGCTACGGTCTGGCCCGTCTGAAGAGCATGCGCGGCGAGGCGGCCCGCTCCGTCGCTGCGCTCTCGCGCGCGCCAATCGGCAGGGTCCATTGCAAAGCCCTTGCAATGAAACCCCTTGCACACGCGACGCAATGGTTTACGAATGAGTTGGACTACCTGCGCGCGCCCTTCACTGCTAATTGCCAAAAGCTCATTTACAAAACCGGCGAGCACCATGCTGTCGACGACGAACTCAATCTGAGGCTTCGCAGAGTGACCGAATAACAAATATCGCACCATTTTCTCTGGAACTGGCACGTTGTCCGAGTTGCACTTGCCGTCGGTTCTGGGTAGGCCCCCTTTATGAGCGACCCTGGCACCGACGTGCCTTGCCGGCGGTTGTGGCAAAGACAAAGCCTGGCACGCTTCACATACAAAGCCCTGCAAGATGTCTTCCAAGTTTCCAGGCTGGTGCAACTGTCTCACCAGCTGCGCCAATGTAAGTCCCAAATTTGCGCCATCATGCTGTCTACGCTCGTCTGTGGGCCCCTCCTTTCGTGAAAGCGCGTCGTCGTCCTTCTTGCGTTTTCGCAATTCGACGCCCTCCATGGCCCCCCACCAAGCGGCATCACGCACTCGCCGGATCAAACGTGCAGCATCGCCGTACCCACGACCCCTCCAGATGTTCAAATAGTACTTCTCCGACAAGAGGACGTGGACCGGCTTGAACTTGCACAACTCGTACCAGCCTTCAAGCTTGGCCAAAGTACGCTTGTCGATAGTTAACACGCTGCCTGGGCAACACAGCTCATTCGAAAAAACCCTGCGAGGACGCATCCTTTCCCATCGGATCACTTCTAAAAGTAGCGCCTGGGTCCACTGAACGAGTGAGCACACAAATGCCGCAGTGGCTCGAAGCCGTGTCGCCCACACATGCAGAATCAAACTCACGGGCGCCTAGATGCCTCCGGTACTTATGATATGCCGCTGCCCCTGCAATTACTCACACAAAACTCATAAGTGCCTCATTTGGGTTGGGCGCATCGAAGATCCCCACCCAATGCGACCATCGAGGGCGCGATTTTGGATTCAAACAGTGTCCCCAGCATAGAAACGTAAAGGGTCAGCACCTGTCCTCTCCACGCTGACGGCTGCAACTTCGAGGGAGCTTGCCTTCCACCTCCGTCCGTACCTATCCCGCAACGCCGCTGTCAAAGCAGCAGACATATCTTGAATTCATCGAAGGAGCGGCAAAGTTAAAAGATGCTGTCGACCCACGTGATTGAAACAATGCGTTGCTGTGTCTAGCAGCGTGGACCCGAAACCCATCCAATCCCACGCGTGTTCCGTGGATCTCAACACTTCGTCAAACACCCTTGTGAAGATCAGAAGGTCACCGCGGCAACCAGTCCGAAAAGTTCTGGTGATTGCCACTGGATCCGCCAATGCCACGCCTGGGACTTCAAGTATTACTCTGTTGTGGCTCATTTCCCGTGCCATTGTTGAAACCTGATGTGGCGAAGCGCCTACGGATCTGACGGTGCGTGACACATCCACGTGCTTCACAAAACCGACAGCAGTTTTCGCGTCCTGGGCGCCCAATACAAGGCCGACGCCCCACTTGACATTGAAGCACAGCGCCACGAACAAGGCTCCGAAGCAATATTCCACCACGGCACTCTCTTTGTATCCATAACTTCACACACACACACACACGCACATACACCGCAAAGGTCGCATAAGAGATTGTGCTCTTTGGTACAACCAGGCGCCGCACAGCTTAAGCACTTGGCCCATGATGCCGAACCAGCGGGAATCCGTGAAGCCATGAGACATGTGTTTTCTGTTCGGAACGCTCAGCAACTCAAAATCTCCCCACGTGGCAACACCATTCGCTTCCCAACGTATATCCTTAAACGTCTGGACAACAAGATCGTACAATTAAGTCTTGGGGATGTGTGGAGCGTGTCGCCATACGACGCCAGGAACTCCATCTGACCAAGGTTTCGCCCTGTCTGCCGTTGTGGACATATGGTAAAAGATCCAAGAATCGGGATACCCAAGGGCACACCATCTTTGGCTCGATCCATCGCGCTTGAACGCAATTCGCCAAAATAGGCGTTAAAATGTCCTTGATTCTCAGTTGGCGGTGAACTTGGACTTGCCAACTTCCTCCAAGGCTGTTTTCCACGTTGCATAGTTGCGCGAACCGGTCCGTGCCTAGGTTGTACCAGGTTTCCCGTATTTCAAACAACGACACATCATAACCCGGATCATTGGTGCCGGGGTGTCGCTGGGGCAGCTGCAGCCGCCGCCGCCACCACCTCTGCTCTGGAACCCGTGGGGCGAACAACGGGATCCGCTACCATGAAAATCTGGCAGGAGCCTTTTCACGAGAAGGCAAATGGTACTTGAATGCCGCCGGTAACGCCAACACGTGACCAAGAGAACGGCGCCAAAAGTGAACCGCTTGAATTTCCAGCACACGCAGACTAACAGCCTGCTCACACAGTCGGGACGCTGTAATCTAACACTTTCTCCTCCTCCTTTTCCTCCTCCTCCTCCTCCTCCTCCTCCTCCTCCTCCCCGTCAGTGTTTCCCTGGTCTCCCCGACACCTCGAAACAGTCCAGGTGCCATTGCCCTCGATTTGTACCCTGACCCTGCTGGAGACTCCTCGGCAAGCCCGCACACTGCTCCCGGCGCTAGATGCAGAAAGTATGCGGGAGCAGGCGCCAGAGCGGCTGCTGAATGAGGGAGGGAACGCGACCAGCGAGTCTCACAACAATGCGCTTGGCACATCACTGCGGAGAGGAGAACCACCAGACAAATGCGAAGCGCGGCGCCAGCCTCGGAGAACGAGCGGAGGCAAGAATGTGACAGAGGGATGCCCGAGGATCCAAAGCGGAAGCCGTTTCTCCTCACCTCAGGAGCAACTCCATCTGGCTGGTGTTCCCACGTCCTCACACATCGGACCGACAAAACCGAGGGCCCCACCTGCCTTTCGTTCGTGAGTTTGCGGCCTCCGCTGTCTGGGTATCGTGGGTCCCTTACGGCCTTCGGGCGGACTGAGAGAAGTCCGCTGCAGTCAGGTAGCTCCCTGACCCCAGGCGGAGGAGGCGGAAAAGGAGTAGAATGACAATCAATGTCCACATGCCATCCTTTGATTGCATTTGAGGTGCTTGCAGCTGACTTGGAAAGCGGGCAGAGGTGACCGACGCACACCCTGGCCCCCGGGCGACGGACAGGTAGAGGGATCGCCAGGCATTCCAAACGGCATTTGCGTTGTGACAGGGGGAGGAACATACCGTTAGCACATTCTTCTCGCCTCCTCCTCCTCCTCCTCCTCCTCCTCCTCATCCTCATCATCATCAGCAGCAGCATCATCAGCATCATCAGCATCATCATCATCATCATCATCATCATCATCAGCATCATCATCGTCAGCAGCAGCATAATCGTCACCTCCGCCACCAGAATCATCATCGTATCAGCATCATCATCATCATCATCATCATCATCATCATCATCATCATCATCACCATCAGCATCACCATCATCATCACTATCATCACTATCATCACTATCATCACTATCATCATCATCACCCTCACCACAATCACCATCAGTATCAATAGCAGCATCATCACCAGCAACAGCAGCATCAACAACACAATCATAGTCAACATAATCATCCTCATCAGCAGCATCAGCATCATCACTAGAATCATCGTCACCCTTAGTATCAGCATAGTTAACCATAAAATCATACTCATCGTCGTCGTCAGCAGAAGCATCATCATCATAATCGGCATCATCACCACCATCAGCATCATGATCAGCAATATCATCATCAGCAGCATCAGCATCATCATCAGTAGGATCAGCATCATCACTGTCGTCATCATCGTCAGCATCAGAATCATCAGCATCAGCAGCATCATCCTCATCATCATCATCCTCACCCGAACCCTCATCATCAACATCATCATCAGCAGTATCATCATCATCATCAGCATCATCATCAGTAGCATCCTCATCCGCGTCAGCATTCCTCATCCTCATCCTCATCGTCCTCATCATCATCAGCAGCATCGCCATCATCATCAGCAGCATCAGCAGCATCATCGTCAGCATCATCATCCATCTCGTCCTCTTCATCCTCTTACGAGTTCACCTTATCTTCTTCATTTGTATATCGCCTCCTCCATCCTCCTCCTCCTCCTCCTCCTCCTCCTCCTCCTCCTCCTCCTCCTCCTCCTCCTGCTCCTCCCCCTCCTCCTCCTCCTCCTCCTCCTCCTCCTCCTCCGCCTCCTCCTCCTCCTCCTCCTCCTCCTCCTCCTCCTCCTCCTCCTCCTCCTCCTCCTCTCCTCCTCCTCCTCCTCCTCCTCCTCCTCCTCCTCCTACGCCTCCTCCTCCTACGCCTCCTCCAGCTTGCGCTGCACAGAACAGCGACTTGCATGCGGCATCAGACAGTTCGTCCTCCTCTCCACCTCCTCCCCCTACTCTTCCCGCCTGGCCCCTTTGGCATCAAGCGGCGAACCAGCTCGCAACGCGGTCGCCCATCTGGTAGCCGCTCAGAGCCGCCGCCTCCAGGGGCCCCCCGCCGGGCGCCGCCTGCAGAAAGTCGCCGCAGATGCCCAGCCGCCACGGCTCCAGGCCGACGCAGGGCTCCCTGAGGCCCAGGGGCCTCAGGGTGAGCCCGGCACCCCACCTCTTCACAGACAAGCGGGTCGGCGCTGGCATGCCGCCGCCGCCGTCTCGGAAGAAGGACCCCAGCAGCCCGGAGAGGCGCTGGTGCAGCTCCTCGCACTGCCCCCGCTCGTCCAGGCCCCGCTGCAGCAGCTCGCGGGAGAGGCGCGTCGTCGGCACCGCCGTCCACATCTCCTCACCCGTGGCGTCGCCGGGGGGGAGCGAGCCGTGTCTGCAGATGAACTGTATGTCCGGAGACGTGGGGCACGTCGCCGCATCGAACGGGACCTGCGCGGACAGCGACCCAGCTGGGAACCGCGCTCTGAGCGGCAGCAGCGGGCCCTTCTGCGTGTCGCGCAGGTCCTGCAGCGCCGCGGCGAGCCTCGACAGCCGCGCCCGGATCTCCTCGTCGCGCGCCTCCGCGGCGAGTCGCTGCACTGCTGCGGCCCCGAACGCGGGGTTGTGAACGGCAAACACCACAGCGTCGAAGCCAAACATGTGCGGGTCCGCGCCACCGTCGCCGCCCTCGCTCTGGCACGCGAGGTCCCAGGACTTGCTGGCGGACTGGAACTGCACGTCGGCCACCCGGGTGCGCGAGAGCACGTCGACGCCGGCCAGCTGGCAGATGCCCGCGCAGACCGAGGCCATCGACGACACCCCCACATAGAGCTGCGAGTCCTTAGCCCGGCCGTTGACGAAGCCGCAGAAGTCGCCCGCGTCTCCGCCCCCAGACCCCGCGTCAGAGGCTTCGCCTGACTTCTGCATGGCGCCCAGCTGAGTCTGGTCTATGATCTCCTGGTTGGCGGTCTCATAAATACGTGTGTATAGAGAGAGCCAGAGAGATGTAGAGAGATATAAACAAAAAGGACGAACAGAAAAAGAGGGTGTGAGAGAGACAGAGACAGAGGGAGAGGGAGAGGAAGAGGGAGAAGGAGAGGATGGTGGAGGGAGAGGGAGAGGGAAAGAGAGAGACAGAGGGAGACAGACAGACAGACAGACAGACAGACGGACGCACAGACAGACAGACAGACGGACGGACGGACAGACAGACAGACAGACAGACAGACAGACAGACAGGCAGGCAAACCGACAGACAGAGACGGAGACACAGAGAAAGAGAGAAAGATATGAACAAGCATGATGCAAACGGACTGGGGACTAGGGCCAAGAGATCTCAGTATGAAGACGAATGTATGCGGCCTCGCGCTGTAGATTGTTTCGTTCTGGGTGTGCACGTTGCGGCGTGGAAGAATGCCAACGTCTGCCTCGTCGGGTTTCTGTAACTGTCTAAGGGCACCCACCTTTTCCCGGTCGCACTTCGTTGCGCGCACCGCCCCCCTTCTCGAGGCGATACCCCTTCTCAAAATGCGATATACTCGCGCTCCCGTGGCCCAGATGCCTCCAAAACGGCCCGATATCGCTCCAAGACGGGAGCCGCTGAGGCGTCCCAAGAGAGACACAAGAGCCTTCCCAGGAGGGCCTCGAGCAGCAGAAACAACTGTTGTTCGGGTTCTCGCCTTTCGAGCTTCCGACGTCCCAAGACGACCCAAGAGGCAACCAGGACTGCCCCAAGACGGCCCAAGAGGCTCCCAAGAGGGCCCCAAGACGGCCCGCAAGAAGGCTCCGAGACGGTCCCTGAGAAGAGCCCAAGAGCGGGAGCACGAACCCAGACTTCGAGCCTTCTGCCCAAAGAGGCCCCCAGCAGGCCCCCTGTGCCTTCTCGGGCAGCTGCCACCCAGAATGCTGCGCTGGCACGGTGGCGCAATTGCCGGAGGCAGCTGGATAATATCAGCGAGAAACTAGTGTTCCTGGCTCGATCGTATTTGTGTATCCTCATCCTCCGCCCCTCTGGAGGTATGCGGGGATCCTCGAAGGCCTCTGGAGGTCCCCAGAGGCCCTCACAGGTCCCCAGAAGCAATGCCCTCCTCCTCCTCCTCCTCCTCCTCCTCCTCCTAACCCCCGTCCTCCTACCCCCTCCTCCTCTTGCTCCTCCTCCCCGAGGGGGCCCCAACCTAAGACCGCAATGCGGCGCGGTCGCGAAGTGTCCGTCGCCGAGAACGAACGGCTCTACTGGCAAGCCCTTTGCGGTTCTGCCTGCAGGCCCCTCGTATAGTTTGCAGTCCTGACGACGAGGATGCAAGAGGGAGGATGAGGGAGTAAAAGTGCGAGGGGTGAGAAGCACAATGAAAGGAAGGAGGGAGAAAGGACGGAGGAGACAGTAGGGAGGATAGAAGAAGAAGAAGAAGGAGAGAGGAGGGGGGAGGGATGAAGGAAGGAGCAAGAAGGAACGATGACAGAGGCCAGAGGCAGGAAGGAGGGAAGAAGGAGGGCGGAGGACAAGGATGGGCACGAGGAGGGAGAGGGCGAAGGAAGGAAGAGGAGTTGTTGAAGGAGTGGGATGAAGGAGTGGACGAGCAGGATTGCCCTTCAGAGCCGTCCGCCTGAATCCATCGAACACCCCCTTGACCCACAGCGGCCAGCTTGGAGTGTCCTAACCCCTTCACTTCCCTCTCCCTGACTATCACGCTCCTCTCACCCTTCGGCTGCTCCTTCCTGCTCCCGATTCCCAATTCACTTCCCCCGCGTAGCCCATACATTCCTCATCTTCCTTTAGTTGCACTGAGTGACAGAACGACGCGGTCCAAGAGTGTCCCGAAAACGACCCAGCTTGTGACGGTCAAGCAGGGGGATAAGAGGACAATGGCACCGGCGAGGATCTTACAGAAAAGGATAAAGGGAGTATGCGGTCTGACTTGAGAGAAAAGGCTGGTATGTCAGTTTGTTTGAAAAGTAAGGTGTAAGTTTGATGCGGTTTGCCTTGTCCAACACAATGTCTTGTTACTCCACATTTTTGCGGTCACGTAATTGTTCTACAATGTTGTACGACGTCCATACACGCCCGTCGCCGTCGCAGCGCATCCACAACCGTCCTCGGTCCTCGCCGCACTCGTGCCATCCCATGGTAGAGTACAGTGGGTCAAGGGGGAACGGCCGCTGATAATTTTGGGCTGTACTCCTGACATGAGATGTTACATAGGTTGAGGTGGACGTGAGTGACCTTCAAGCTGCAGCTGCTCCGAAGCATGACCTACTGCTGACGTGCCCACTATACCAGGCATACGAAACCAAAGCAGGTGGGCGACTCGATTCGCCTGCTCCACTCCTCCAAACATGGATCCACCTGCCTCCGTCTGGATTCTCACGGGCAACACGGCAGTAATGGTCAGAAAGCCACACCTGTAGTGCAACTGGCTGTCTTCCTGAGCTCTTGACCAGGTGCAGCCGACAGGACAGACCCTCTCGTCTGCCCTTGCTCCTGCTCTGGCTAATGGCTCACGCTGCTGCTTCCGCTACTGCTGCTCATCCTCCTCATCCTTCCTCCAGCCCCCTCCACGAAAGCCCGTATCAGGGATGCTACTCCCGTGGCAGAAAGCCGCCATGCTTGCCCAGCACGCCGAAGCGACCTGTCCACGGCACCACCTGAACCATGCAAAAGGCAGGCACAATGCGGCACGCACGCGAGCATACGTGAAGAAGGAAGCATGCGACCAAGAGAGCGGACGAACAAGGCGAGGGCGCAAGCCAACGAGTGCGTCAAGTGAACAATTTACCCACGAACGCCCCGAGGGCACCATATGCTTGACCGTCATGCTCGTCAGTCGCGATAAGGGGATGTTCTACCCCATTATTCCCTCTGTATCCATCCCCTCTCGTCCCCCTCCTCAGCTCCCTCCATCCCTCCACCCCCTCCCTCTTCCCTCCCTCACTTTCCTCTCGTCTGTTACTATCCAGGAGTGTATCTACGTCTTGCGATCTTTGCCACTGCTGTCGTCGCTTGAACGGCATCTGGCTCGTGCTGGTCGCCTGCGTGATGAGAAGGGGAGCATACCGAGGGGAGACGGACACTACGGGCCCGACACAAATAAATAGGCACAACACCCAGGATTCCCAATATGTTTCCCTATTATTTGGGATGGTCCTCTTCATGTTCCTGGGAATCGACGTATATAAGTGTCTGTGTGATTTTTCCTCCTGGAGAAAGACGGGGGAACGATAGATCCTGGCCCAAGGTGTCCCCTGGCTGCCGGGAAGGCCCTGGTGGCCCCAGACTGCAACAGACGGTGCTCAGAAGGGACCCTTGGGGCTTCCGGAAGGCCCAGGAGCTGGGGGGAGCACACTGAGCGATGGGCCCTCCTGACGACACCCTAAGACAGGGACGGGGCACCCTATGCAGAGGGGGGTGCAAGACAGAGGGGTGACATCTAGTCCAGCTACTACAACACAGGGACGCTATAAGGGGAACAAAAAACAGTCCCCGCTCAGACTGCGTCTGGGTGCACGAAAAGCGCCAGAGGAACAACCATGAAAGGACCTAAGGAACAGCAACCCCCTCTGAACACAGACTGCCGCGTATTTCAGCGTCTTGCTTGCACCCTGGACAGAGGCGCGGTCCCGGCGATCCTGGTGCAAGCAGCGCTTCCGTCACCACACCTCGCCAGGCCGCCTCTCATCGGAACAGCTGTCCTCGGCACGCTGTCCGCGCAAGCGCGCGGTGGCGGGTAGGAGCGAGGAGTGCAGCTAGGCAGCCTGCTTCGGAGACTCCGACGACCTCCTTCTCCTCCTACCACTCCTCATCATTCCCCACCTCCTCCTCCTGCTCCTCCCCCTCCTGCTCCTCCTCCTCCTCCTCACCATCATCATGATCCAGTATCCTGTTACTTGTGTCATGCATATAGTCTCTCGTCGCTTGCGCCATGTATCATCATCATCATCATCAGCATCATCATCATCATCATCATCATCATCATCATCAGCATCATCATCATCAGCAGCATCAGCATCAGCATCAGCATCATCATCATCATCATCATCATCATCATCATCATCATCATCATCACCATCACATTGTATCCCAATATGGTTCTCGCGGCCGCACGTCATCATCGCCTTCATCCTCACCACCATCATCACCATCATCACCATCATCAGCAGCACCGTCATCATCATGACCACCACCCTCATCACCATCATCGTCATCACCATGTTCATAACCATCATCATCACCATTACCATCACCACCAACATAAAATAGTACATCCGATCAGCGTCATCAGCATCAGCACCATCATCTAATATTACATCCTGTCATCATCATCACCATCAGCAACGCCATCATAATCAGCATCATCCGTCATCAGCATAATCACCATCACCGTCACCGTCACCATCACCATCACCATCACCATCACCATCAGCATGATCAGCATCATCATCATCATCATCATCATCAGCATCAGCATCAGCATCAGCATCATCATCATCAGCATCATCATCAGCATCAGCATCATCATCATCATCATCATCACCAGCATCATCATCATCATCATCATCATCATCATCATCATCATCATCATCATCATCATCATCATCATCGTCATCATATTGATCATATCCGCCACCGTCCCGCAGGCACTGAGCGGAGTGTCCTCACTTCCTTTCGAGTTCTCAATATCGAAGACTCCGACTCCTCTCCAAGGGGCCCAAGGCCAGGATCCACAGGCGCTCTCAGACGCTCTCGGGCGCTTCCAGGGCGGCTCACGTGACTTTTCTGGAGGCCTCGGGAGCTCGGTTGGGATTGCATACTTGCAGCATGGCCCAAGATGGTCCTGGACACCGTCCTGCAGCCTTCTTGGGCGCCTATTGGGCCTTCTCGAAGGCCCTGGGGCTGGCCTGATCCAGATTCGCTGAAACGCCTCAGGTGCTTAAGAGCGCCCGAGACGGCAGAGCAGGCCCCCCAAGAGGGCCCAACAGGCCCCCAAGACGCGCCTCAAGTGGGGCCAAAGGCGGGAACACGAACTGACATGTGAACCCTTCCCCCAAAGTGACCGTCGAGACCGCCAGCAGACCCAAGAGACCCGTATGTTGCGCAGAGGCCCCCCACAGGACCCCCAGAGGCCCCCCAGAGGCCCCCCAGAGGACCCCCAAAAGACGCCCCAAGAGAGGCCCCCAGGAGATTCCCAAGAAGCCCAGGCTTCCCAAAGGCTTCCCAAGAGGCCCCACCAGAGACTCGAAGAGACATCTAAGAGGCCTGTGATCCACAACCCAAACACGGCGGCGGGCCGGGCCGAAGGCCACTAGATCAAGGCCACTAGATCCGCCGCCCCCTTTGCTTGCGAAGGCGCGCTTGTCGCATCGAGGACTTCTCCGCCACCGTGCCCCCTGGAATGTTGAAGAGTGCTAACATGCCAAGGGTCGCCTGGTAGGGCGACTGCATCCTTATGATGGGTCCCCCCGTGCGTGGCCCCCCTCGCTCACGAGGCCACGACCCCTCATAACAAAGCAATGGGTCTGCGCTCCCGATGTAACGATCCCTCCCCAAATACGACGGCTACGCATCCCGAGGTCCCAAGACGGCCGATGCAGGCAACCAAAGAACACCAGATGGCCCCAAATGCTTGGAAAGCTGTCCAAGATGGCCCCAAAGGCGCCGCAGATGGCCACAACACGGCCCACGATGCCTCCAAGAGTCCTGGAGCACAGTGCGAGAAGGACGTTCGGCGATCCACTCCCGGTTATCCCTGAAGGGAGGGGGGCCTCGGACAACCTTGTTCATAATACACTAACTATCGAAACCAAGCCAAGACACCCGGTTAGATTTAACATAACGTATCTCTGCCACCCAAATGCTGAGGGAACGCCACCCCTGAGCCAGAGCACAACCCACAGGATAAGGACCACCAGTGGTTTAGAGGACAGGAACACCCTGGATCTTAGGGCCCTGGGACCTACCCCTGCATTTCTCCCCGAGTTCCTGGTCTAAGCAGAAGACCTTGCACATTTCGCCCTCGCAGAGGCCCAAGAACTCTGAGAAGAAGAGCTGGAGGCGCTGGGGGTCCGCAGCGCCCTCGAATCTCTTAGCCAAGGTACCCCACCCCACTGGTTCCGAAGGTGGCCCATGAGGTACATCAGCTCGGTCTCGAGAGAAAATCTTGGGGCTGCCCAGGGCCAACACCCAAGGCAAGACAGCCTTGTGATGCATGACCAGCTGGACCGCCGAATGCGGCTTCAGCGTTGAAGCTCTGCTGCGGCGGACGCTGACGACAGAACTAACAATGCCAGGCGCTACCAGGAAGAAATCAAGGACATCCCAAACTCTCCACACCTGCACGCAGGTAGAGACGGGGCGCGTATAGTAGCACGCAGACGAGTAACCCAACCGCACTCACATGTCGTGGGAGGAGTGCAGTTCCAGTCTTCGCCTACGATGTACGGCATACTCCACTCGTGTAACAGCTCACCCAGCGCCTGGCTAGAAGATGGGACCCCTCGGGCCCGAGAGCCTCGCCCCCCGTCGGAATGCACAGTGAAACAGCCAAGAAACCTCCAAGAAAATACGCGTTGACCCAGCATATGTTCATCCTACAGGAGCTGGAAAACAATGGAACCAAGACCCAGGCAGCAGGCTTATACCGAACGAACGACGACATCCGACACCAACTCCACTCGAAAGCCCGCCGTCCTGGGTGATCTCAGACGCCTTGAGACTGGTCTGCCAGCCCAAGGGCCCCAACTTTGGCTCAGCCTTTGTAGTCTGGAAGGGAGCTCGGCCGATCTCTTGAAGCAGGACTACATCGGCACGGGGCTCCTCAGCAAAAAACGAAAAAGAGGACCCCAACCTGAAGACTTCGCAGATTCGATCACAATCTCCTGTATACGCTTCACTGCTTCACGGCCTGCCGCCTAGGTGGGGAAAAGG